TGTGTGTGTGTGTGTGTGTGTTGAATCCCTTTAACTTTTTTGCGTGTTTATTTTTTTAATTTTTTGAATTCCCTTGGTAAAAGTCCTGCTTCAACCGCTAATTATAACATAGACGCGTACACGTGTTTTACTAGTATGACTTCTTATTATATTGTTATGATTGAATCATGCATTGTACCTATTGCATTTTGTTATGGTTGTAGAATTATGTCAAGTCATACACGTAATTGCTAGCAAGTAAATTAGGGTTTCGTGCTACTCAAGAAAAGTAATGCACGTGAATTCTAATATTCAAGAAAAAGATAGAGATATGGGTGGGGTGCACTAGGCGTCCTGATCTTCTTGCAAATCCCCTATATAGTTATTTAACGAAGACTTTGTCCCCTCACACGGTAAAACAATCATTGAGAAAGTATATGGAAGGTGACGCAAAAGTGTAGCCTAGTGATTAATAAAGTCACATAAAAAATTATAGGAGATTTGAGTTCAAATTCGAACAAGAAAAGAAGCAGGCTGATGCATAAGCATCCCGTATTACACATGATTCGGGAAAGGGCCGCACCCAAAAGGTTGCGATGTACGCAATTTATTTTAACGCAAGTATGATTGATTTTATGGCTCAAACCTGTAACTTATAGATAATATGAAGATAAGTTTATCGTAATTCTAAGGCTACTCCAAACAAAAACACAAGAAAATGATACATGATTTTTTCGCATTTAACAAAGACTTTGTCCACTCACACGGTAAAACAATCATTGGGAAAACAGAGGGAAGGTGACGGCAAACGTGTGACTTAGCAATCAATGAAATCGATAAAAATGATAGAGATTCGAGTTCAAATTTCAATAGGAAGGGCAGGGTGATCCACGAAGCACCTTGTGACACATAGAGTCCGGGAAGGACTGCATCTCAAGGGGTATGATGTAAACAGTCTACCCTAACGTAAGTATTATTAGCTGATTTTATGACTTGAACCTATGATTTATTGGTCACACGAAGACAATTATACCGTTGTTCCAAGGCTCCTCAAACAAAAATTGAAAAAATGTTATATGAATTTTTCGCATGTCTACCTAAGTTGTGGTCGATATCAATACCTGACACTTATATTGATAGAAATAGCAAGTACCGATGAAATTATCTAGATGAAATAGATACCTGAATAGCAGCCTTATTAAAAAGGAAAAAAAATAGAAAGTAGATTGAAGGTCCTTGTCAAAGAAGACTATCTAGAAGCACTAAGAAAGAAACCATGTATAGGGACAAAGGACAAACTAATTCATCCTTGGCAGACTACTTGTCAAGCACTTCACCACTAGATACAACAACAATGTTTTCAGATAAATTTTATAGTTTTAGTCCCATAATTATCACAATGATTTAAGAATAGAATATTGAAGTTTAATGCTGAAGATATTATGCAAACAACTGATCATTAATAATACTGAGACTGATCTTGCCATGATAAGTCTTTTGTCTCCAAAAACTGTACAAAATTTTCCCTTCTGAGTAAAAACAGGTGTCCAAAACCAATACTGAACACACACACACCACACCACCCCCCCCCCCCCCTCTTTTTCTAGGATTACAACCTTGATAATTTAGTGTTCAATTAAGTATTCCTCTACATTGCCTTAGATTGCATATAAAAATTAAGCTCATTAAAGTTAAACATGAAAACTTTCATGAACTTAGTTATATGTTTTTTAGCTAAATCCACACTTAGTTGAACCTTCTCAAACTTATGCAACCATTTCATCAACTATCTTTGCACATAGTAGAAATAGAAAAGGTGAAATGAAGCAAACTTAAAGAAAAGAGAACATATTTTGCTACGAGTAACGGTTTTTTTGTGGCTCTAAACTGAACTATATCTTACAATTTTGGTAACATATTAATAAGTCGATGTTCTTTACATCAACTAGTTCAAAACTGTTGGTTATACCTACTGTTTTACTCACTATATACGATATTTACAATAGTGTATACTACGACCGAAAAGCAGGTTGCAACTACGGGAAGCAAATACTATCCTTGCATAGACAGGAAAGCCGATCCCACGTTCCATTACGAGGCCTTATCAGACCTAAGAAAGTTGTGAATCTCCAACTGAGTCATCTCTTTGCCAGAGGCTGGGTCAAACTTGCATCTAATAAAGCTGCATAACAAGTTGATCACATATCAATAATTTGACCAAGCTAATCAGACTAAGAGAAGTATAATGTATGTAACCGTGTGCGAGAGATATTCCAGCCAATGAGGGGAAAAGTTGAAAAAGTCACTCACACGTCCAAAACTATACATAGTAGAATTATGTGTATGGATTCACAAGTAATTGTGTGAGCGAGAGAAACTCCATCAAATAAAGGGAAAAGTTAAGAAGTCAATTACACGATCAAAAATCTAACACCGGAAAATCCACAGTAATAGTTGAAGAAGTAGACACTGATGAGTAAGGAAGACCATATTACTTCCTAAATCAATCCCTTATCTTTAGCTCAACCAGTGGTTATATTTGCAGCCCTCCTTTTGTTCAGTTTTTTGGTATTGTAAGTCTATGTGAATGAATTGAATATATCTTTCTTTTCCCAAAAACATAAGGATGATGAACCATCATATTTGCCTTTTTCACTAACTATTTATATAGCAGGCTCTGAGGAGCTCATGCTATTCCCAGACCGAGTCACTAATTGAACTACCATTTTCTACGTATCATCAGTCTAAACTGTTTTCTCCACAAGCACTGCTAACAGTACAATGCATATATATGTCAATAAACAGGCAGGTTAAGTTAAACTCTGTGAGACATTGCACAATATTCTGTCAATTTCATCCGTTAAAACAAGGAAAGCATAATAAAGACAATGCAAGGTCTGTGCTAAACTCCCTCGGTCCTCCAACATGGACGTTTTACTAGAACTTAGAAGTATAGGTATTTATATGCAAGAAAGATAAAGTAATAAGTATTGTGAAATTCTCTTAACACTGGGCCTACCTTCCATCCAAGCCAAGAATTATCAATGTATTCTTTTCGTGACCAAATGTGACAATATACTCGGAGTCACCAGGCAACCGGAATTGTGCCACTGACCATTCTGAGCTAAAATATTTTGGAAGCACTCCTGCCAAAAAAGAAAACCAAATTCAGAGCCTGAGAGAAGTAAAACAGAAGAGCGCTATAGCTACTTTCAAGCGTCACTATTTGGGTCAACTTGTGCCAGCTGGTAAGTTAATATACATGTGAAGAGAGAAAGGTAGACTGGTGAGAAGCTCAATTAAGAAAAGAAAATAAAGAAGTTCTTGAATCAAAGCTTCATGTTAAGCATTTTCAAGCCCATTCCATTGAGGAAAAAAATACAGGATACTATGAGTATGCAAATGAATCACAATGCATAGGCGATCCCAAGTCCAATAAAAGAGGACTGCAGTATGTTGACCGTCCACGTAAAAATAGTTGACTTACGAAAAAAATTAGTTGATTGAAGCATGTGGATCACCAAAGGCAGAGAGAAAACCATTCTCCATTATAAACAACCCTATTACATTAAGTTAATCACCACTCATGATTCTCCAATATAAGTTACAAATAATACTACTGTACAACAATTTCTGCGCGACTCAAATAAGCCAAAATATGTCAGGAAAAAAAATTGTGTAAATGGATCCTTCATTAATTAGTCTTCAGATGCATGAGAATTAATCTGTTTAATTATATATCTGGCTGCTTAAATAAGTTATGAGTAATACTACTTATTAGAAAATGCTACAATTTAACAAGTATTAGGCTATTAGCACCACCTTGTGGCTAGAATTATTTATCTGTGGCTGCAATAATTAGACCAAGAAGGCAAAGACATTGTGCAGGAGGGCTTCAGGGGTATGTAAGATGTCCGTCCAGGACAGGAAAGTATGGTTTTTATACTTGTGATATCTCAATTCTTATAAGAAGTGTGCAAGAGTGATGCAGAACTCAGCGGAATGCTTGAAAATTAGAAAATAACTTGCATGCTGTTAGGACATAATTCCATCAGAGATATTCGGCCAAATGGGAATGTTAATGCAACGAGTGAGCTAGCATTCATAATGATCAAAATACGAATCTAATCTAGAAAGGACTCCAAATTGAGAGCCTTCGAGTGAAAAGATGAGATGCAAGAGAGGAAGAAAAAGAGCAAATTTAAGTGCCATATCCTTTGTTTAGTTATATATTAAAAAAACTCGTCTATATTCGGCAGAAAGGAAGAAACAAATTTCTTCTACTTCATAATTGCACAGCAGGAAGAAAATCATGAGTTTGCTTCCCCCCAACCGCTCTTTATCCTTTCTTGAACCATATCTAACATATGCCTCCAAGCTATGAAAAAAACTCTCTATGAACCGGTAAAGGGTCACAAAGGTTTGCTGTCTCCAAAGCTTGGGTTTCAGAGGCGACGATTTAAGTTCTATGGGTTCGACCTTTAAATTATTTAGTATTGAACCCAGTGTATTCAACCTTTCAGACCTAATATTTGCTGCAATTTTAGTGAATTTTTACACATAAATTTATGCTCCGCATTGAAAGTACTGAGTTCAGATGAACCCGGTGTCCGAGTGCCATATTCGCTACTGCTTGGGTTGATGGCCCCATAAAGATGTTAAGAGGACAAAAAGGGTTGATGTCATCAGATACAAGCTTAGATATTAAATGACATCACAACTATGGCTGTTTAAAAGCAAGGGGCGATTTAGATAAGTATTTAGTTAACTATGATTGTATAGTAGAAACATTTTTTAAGCGTGGGATGGCCAAGTGCCTGATGTGGGATCAGATTTTAGTTTAAGCTGTCTAGTTCTTAGGCCAGTTCATCGAGATGAAGTGTGATAAAGGAGAGTCAAGTTGCCGTGTGTGCTAACCAATCTGGAGCATTTGTCTGCAGAAAACAAGCCTAACACGGTTAACTATCATAGGATAATTGCATGTTATAAGTTGCCATAATCTCTTCTATAAACTCATAGTCCAGGACATCCACCCCTGATGCTGAACAAGAGTCAGAAGGCATCCAAATCAAAGGTCAAATAACTTAGTGTTCTTGGTGGAATTCCGCTTGCATATTTTCAAACAAGGAAACGGAAAAAGAAAAAAAAAACAAGAGAGAAATCAGAAAACTACAAATGTGTTCAGAAGGGAACCATACCTTTGATGAAGGAGAATGGTGAACTTGATGCCGCCAGAGTAAGACGGGAATTACGAGGAGTATTTGTCTTATCCTGATTCCCAAGATGCTTGATCCTAAAAAGATGAACAGTGCCTTTGTCACTAGAGACTGCTAGCCACTCAGCAGTCGGAGAGAATGAAACACTGTGAATTTCTGCTCTATCAGCACCTCTACGCACCTGGATCATGTATCACATGTGATTTACCAAAACTAGATATCTCAAAAATGTTGTTTAATTGGTACAAGGGAAAGTTAAAAGAATCAATCTAGCTTGTAGGTTATGTGTATGGATAAAGTAGACCTATTAGCAGGGGCGGATTTAGGGGGGCACAAGGGGGTTCACCACAACCCCCTTCGCTGAAAAATTACACTGTATATATAAGCCAAAATCTGTTTTTTACCTCTATATATTAAGTTTTGAGCCCCCTTAACACAATCCAAAAGTGTAGTTTCGTGGTCAAGGGGATTCAAAATCTACATAAGGTCATGGGTTCACTTCCCACTAGCTACAAAAAAAAAAAAAAATTGAACCCCCTTCGTGGAGATCCTGCCTCCGCCACTGCCTATTAGCAGGCAAAGTAGAAAAAGCAAACCATCAAAATGTTACAATCTTATACAATCTATATCTGAAATGTCTACCACTACACCATGGATAACAATAATAAAATTGAAGCTTGTAATTATGGGAGAATATGAAAAACAGAAAGAAGATAATAGGAATTGGCATTTGGCAAAATTTAACAACATTACGTTTTTTAACTCTAATTCCACTTCCAGTTACAAAAAATTACAATCTGTCATAAACTAAGGCAGAGACGAGCAAGGAGAGCACACTGAGTACCAACTACATGCTAAGCTTTCTGAGTCATGGATCACGGGGAAAACGGAGTAAAGACTCGATAGGTAAACTTGAGACATTAGAAAATGGTTTACAGCGACAGTTTACTTGACAGTATCAATGAAAACCAAGGAATTTCAACCAACAACGCCACTAATCTATCCATGTTCAGCATAAGCAAATACAATGAAAAATCAAAGCATTGTTATTTTGATCAACGAGAGTTATAAAATGAAGATAAAAGAAACAGATATGCTGGATACATGAAGTACATTACAAGGTCAGTTTCGCAGTCCAGAAATTAATCATAAATTGGTGAAAGATAAAAAGACAAAAATGCTGCTATTACTTACAATAGGTTTGTAATAAATGAAAATGCAATGCCTGGACTGAACTAAACAGCATTCAAAATCTTACCTCCTGCAATAACGTACCATCCTGTGTGCTGAAAATCCGGATAAGAGTACCCTTGATACTTGCTGTTGCCAGCACATGCCCCTCATGACTAAGTGCAAAAGATGCAGTCTTAGAATCATGCGCAAAAATAAACTTAGTCCTTTTTGAAGTGAAATGCTCAACACGAACTTCACCATTTCGTAATCCAGGGCACACCAGCACAGGTGATCCAGTCGCTTGTGAAATCTCACAGAGTCCCTTTGTGTTTACAATTGTCTCAATCTGGTGGACGAGCTTCATGTCAGCAAAATTATATATAAATATCTTCTGCTCAAGTATAACTACGATGCAGTCACGTCGAAGCCGGACACTACGCACAGCCGACCGGAAACAGAGTTCGCCCAAGCAGCGGCTCCGATGATCATCCCAAATTATGGCCTTGTTTCGAGGATATTGTGGATTATCTCCACTTCCAACAAAGACAAGTATGTTGCTGCAGAAGAGCATCTCAATAATTTCAATACCACCTCCATTGTCAAAGTACCGTTGAAACATCTTTCTGAAAGGGTCACAGCTATAGACTGTAATGCCACGATCAGTGCCAATGGCAAAACAGCTACTGTTTTGATTGAACGAAACACGGTATAGAGTCGAGATTGACTGATTGATCAAACCATGATTAGGACAGTTTTGGATAAGGGGACTCTGCTCAGGCTCATTATCTACCTGCTCAACAGCATCTTGTTGCTGCGGCTGAAGCTGTTGTTTGTGTTGTTCTTGTAGTTGCTCTAAGTAAGGTTGAAGCATTGGTGAGTTAAACTTTGAATTAGTGGTTGGGTGCTGAAATGGCGGGGGAAGAGGGGAAACAGTGGCCATGGACAGGGATTAGAAAGAGGTTTTAGAAGGTTATCAAGCTTAAGTTCAAAGCTAAACGGATAATGTTTTCTATCAGATAGTCACCACCACATTCACGGTCATCAATCTGCATCAGAAAGACATAACTTAAAACTAGCTGTATTGATATTAAACTGATAAGCACTGATGCTACACTTGATCTTAGCCAAAAGGCCGAGGAAGGTATAAAACTAGCAGTATAGATATACAAGCAGTGTTAATAAAACGTCAAAAGGAAAAAACAAATTCTTCAAAGGAAAATGCTACAAGAATTTTTTTTTTTTAAATAAAAAAAAAAAGAAAGTGTTTTCACTACAATACGCTAAACACCCTCAAGTGGTTCTTCCTACTGGTCGCTACACACTGTTCTTCCTAATTACTTCCATTATACTAACAATATAGTGACTTCTATGGGAGGAAAAACAAATGAAGAAAGAAATTATCCTGGTTAATTATGAATAGACACTTACCCTATTGTACTGGTCAACTAGTAATTGACACATGAAAGAATTTCATTCTAGTTCCATCAAGTAACGAAACTACACTCAGTTGTTTAAAGTCAGTGAATCAACCATCAAGTAATGGACAACAGAGGGGGATTCAGGATTTGATTTGAACTTTATGGGTTCGAGATTAATCATTTGAACTTATACAGGGTCAGATTCAAAGCTACAAGGTCCATTCTACATCCGCCCTAACGGACAACACTCAGTAGCTTAAATTACAAAACTGATTCACTTATAGAACTAGAATCCATGAAAGTGATATCAAGAACATGAATTACATATAGAAAAATTTCCCTTAAAGATTCAAATCATTCTCTTTTTTTTTCTTCATTTTTTTTTCTTTTTTTGATTTCTCACCCAAGTTAAGGTACTCGCACAGGGCCCTGACTAATCCAAATTCGCGCCTGGATTTTTCCATATTCAGGCTCAAGCCTAAGACATCTTATTAAGGGTGGAGGGATCCGATCCACTACAACTCTTGATGGTTTTTTAGTTTCCCGACCGGTGTCGGGTAAATCATTCAGTTCTACTTCTACCAAATAATACTTAAGATGTTGGTTAGAAAAGACAAAAAATCCAGTAGCACAAGTGAATATTGCAGGGCCTTTTTCCTTCTTTATTCTTTTCTCAACCTCTGTAATTTGCACTCCCTGAACCGTACAATACTACAATCCCAGCCTCAAAAACAGAACTAAAAAAAAGTGCACAAATACATTAATACAATTAAAAAAACAGTTGATCATAGACGATTTTATGATAATAAACTCATTAAGCTTCAAAAATCACTTTTTTAATCATTACACAAGAATAAAACTGAACTAAGTTGTTAAATAATGAAATTTTAAAAAAAGAAATCATGAATTCTCAGAAATCCTACTGGCTATTAATGAACATAATCAAAGGAAAAAAAGGAAGATAATTAGCTAGGGTTAATTACTGATATCTAATTTTAAAAAGACATTGATATGAACAAAAATAATAAGCAGGAATATTAATGCAACAGTTAATATCTATAATACTTACATTAATTAAAGGAGAATTGCAACGTACGTAATGAGCAGGAGGATGGAAAAAGGATATTAAAATAGGGCTGGGACCTGTGGGGTTTTGTAGGAAAGAGAGAAATATCAGTTTGTATTTGGAGTAGGAAACTGTTTACTCTTTTAGAAGAATATTTGGATTAGGAGTCTTCCCACTGATATTTAGTGAAAAAGGGTCAAATTTGTCTTTTTATTATTTAAATTAAGCAACTTTATCCTGAATTACAAAATAGTCTTATACAACAACAACAATCTTAGGACATGTTTGGCCATAGTTTTTGCCTATATTTTGACAAAATCTCAAATCTCAAATCCCAAAAAATTTATAGTTGATTTTGGGCCGAATCCCTACTAATACACTTCTTTTTCCAAAATAAATTTGAGAAATATGTTTTGAAAACGTATGTCCAAACACATTTTCATCTTCAAACCAAACTTTGTCCCAATTAGATTTTTCAAAACAAATTTGGGAATCTATGGCCAAACGCTAGCTTAGTGTAATCTCACAAAGTGAAGTCTTGAAATGTGGAGTGTACGCAGACCTTACTCCTACCTTATGTGGGTAAAGAGATTGTTTTCATATACTCCCGGCTCAAGGTAAAAATAAAAAAGAAACAGATACAACATATAGTAACAACTGCACATAAGATGATTAAATTCGAATATTTTTTCTCGAATAATTTTGACCCATAGAATTCACTCATTTTAAGATGGAGCTCAATTAATGATAAAGACTCCGTTAACATCAAGTGTATGACCAAAAGTGAACAATGGCAAATTTGAGTAAGTTTGAGTGTTATGGAGGTAAATTCTATTAAATCAGGATTATATCTGCTATTCTATTCGAATTCGATAGAAATTAAATTTGAGTTTGAGCAGTTGAGTTTTTTGAATTTATTTTAAACTTTTTCCCAATCTATAAAAGTTTCTGCATATAAATTTCTAGTGTTAATTATAGCTAATTTTTAGTATGTTTATATCTTTAATTTCGAATTTATATTTATTTTGAGGTAAAAAGTAGGTGTAGATAAATAATTTTTTCGCTGAAAGATGCTTATATTTTGGAGATATTGTTATAGCCTGTAAATCATTGTTGTATTAAGAGGGAAAAGGACCACAAACGTGAATTTACAACTTGCAAGACACGTTAATATTTGTTAAGGAATAGTATAAGCTTTGATGCTTGACTTGGCCATAGCGCAAATAAAATATCTAATTTTTAGTGTTCATCATATATACACTTATTTGCACGAATGCAATGTCTGAAATAATTTTCATAACTAAAGATTGTGGTTAGATGCATAATTATTTATTTATTCTTGATTAGAGGTCGAGAGTTTGATCTCCGGGATGAAAAAAGTTCCTGGGAGGGACTATTTTCTCATTTAATATGTTTTATACGGTGCAATTCCTAATTAGTTAAGTTTCAAAATAGATATTGGCCACTAAGTGCTCGTTTGGTTATCCTATGTTTGGCTGGGTAAAATTGTGGTATAACTAATTTTGGAATTTGTTATCCCAAGATTGAAATGTTAATTTTATCCTTACGGGAGAGTAGTTTATAACAATTCTAGGATAATTAATCCCTGGATAATTAAACTTAGGTTAATTTATTTCCCAACCAAACAAACCCTAAGTGAGAAACCAGAAAAAGAAAAAACTTCCGTAATTTTCTTTTATCTCAGTTAATTCCACTTTCTTTCTTACATCAAGGTTTTTTTTTCTTCTAAACTTAGCAAGTGTACTCCCGAAGCCTGTTGATTAAGGCTTTGATAATTAAAAAGGGCAGTTCGGGGAAGAGCCGGACTACAAGGGTCTGTCGATAATTATTTATTTGAAATCCTAGTTTTAATTATTATGAAGTGTTTGATGTTTATACCTTCGCTCTTACCTCATAATTTTAAGTTGTATTAACTAAAAGTATAATTTACAGCAATTGACCATCTTGCCTTCTCTATGCCTTTCAACAATTTTTCAATTGATATCTTTAATATTTACCTCCTTTTGCCTTTGCTATGACCCTTCGGAGACGGAGACAGCCAGCGAGAAATTCAAAAATAGTCAGATTTACAACTGGTCGTTCAAAAATAATTCAATTTCAAAAGTAATCGAAATTTAGCTACTTTTCATGTAAAGATAAATCTGAGCGAAAATACTATTCAAAACCCGGAAAATACGCCAGTATATTATGCTGGAGTTCCAGCATATTGAACTCCAGCATATTATACTAGAGTTCCAACATAAGTACACTAGAACTCCACAATAATATACTGGAGTTCCAGCAAGTATATCTGTCCAGCATAATATGCTGGAGTTCCAGCAAGTATATATGTCCAGCATAATATACTGGAGTTTGGAGCACCAATGCTCCAGTCTCCAGTATATTATACTGTAGCCAGCAAAGTATACCGGTCCAGCATAATATGCTGGAGTTAATACACAAGTGCACCGAACTCCAGTATATTATGCTGGACCGGTCTCTGTTGCAGCAAAATAGTGGCTATTTTTCATTGACTTGGTAAATGCTGACTATTTTTGAACGACCAATCCGAAAACTGACTATACCGTGCTATTTTTACATAATTGTTGGTACTTTCTTATTAACTCTAATCATATGGTTAATGGCAAAATTTAATTTGGGCTTTCAAGAAGCAGGCTTGAGATACTGCATTGGGCTTTTTTCAATTTTAATTCATATCAGAAACTATTTATATTTGGTAACCGAAGAATATAAATTTGTATATTTTTTGTATATAACATACAGAATGTATATATACAAAAAATATATATTTTTTGGCTATTATTTTGAAAGTGACTATATAACATCATTTTCCCCGCTACGTTGGGCATCCGTTCAAAATGAGTTTAAGACTTTAAGTCCATATGACCTAAATGGATCAAACATGGCCCACATAGTAATAGTCCGAGCTAGCCATTTTTTATTTCTATAATTTAAAAATAATCAATGTCATAGAATGTCAAATTAATGCCATGATAATAATATTGAAGTTCTACTTGTGTATTTTGGAACTTCATGATAGTCGCTATTTTTCAATTACAAAAACTAAAAGTGTCTATTTATGAATTTTATCCCACTGCAATTTGAATTATGGTGAAGTACATAAATAGTCCTCAAAGTGGATGGTCTTGATTTTTTTGTCCCCGATTACCCATAAATAGTACTTCATGTTTAACAGGTATTTTTCAGCTTGCCCTATGGACAATACTTTTAATCTTTACCTTAAAATTCTACTTATGGAACAAGCGAGAGTCAAAAGTTAAATATAACCCAAAAAGTATCATATTTCTGCTTTAAGTTATGGTCACCCAAACTCAATTCGATTAATCAAAAATCTAAATTGTTCCTACACTCAAAATAAAAAGGGAAACTACCAGCTATGTCCATTTATAAGTAGCTCATTATAAAAAATTGATCAATTCATAAAATATTACTAATATTGGCCAAATATTACTAATATTGACCAATTAGCTATTTTTAACAAGAAAAGGTCAAAATTTTGCTTTTGTTTTAGTGGGTGTTATTAGAATAGATTGGGTACATCTTAAGGAGTTTGAATCTCAGTTTTGGAACGATTTGGTGAAGTTTTGAGGTGGTTTGAATTGAAAATTCAAAGTAAAAACTGAACATGAAAAA